CCTGGCTCTGATGGTTGAAATATTATCGAATTTTTGAGGGTGGCTCCAGCGGGACCCTGAGTCGGTCTCACTGAAGCCAATTTTCAAAAGCGACAGGCAGAGCGCACCGCTGGTCACTTTGGCTCAATAGCTCGGGAAAACTGGATTTTCAGAGTGCTACCTTCAGAAGCCTTCGAAACGAAAGCCATCACAAGTGTGAAATGTTCATCTTAACGCTCAATGACCATGCCGGTGTGGAAGTACATGGCCGAATGCAATGTAGGGCTGACTCTACGTGAGCGGTCCTGGGATCGCTTCCAGCCAAGGCTAGGCTTTTGCCAAGATAATTGATATCATCAATTTTCTTGGCAAAAGCATCAATCAGGCCACATAACGATATAGTGTCTCTTGCTATTGCCATTCCGTGCGGGCTATCTCAATCGATAGTAAATATATAACAAAATTTATGCCAGCTTCCCTCACCGGCGGAATGGCCCTGTAGGTAAAGCACAAGCCCAAAGCTGAAAAAATCCATTGGGAACCCTTTTAGGTTCCACAGCTTTAGCAGTCCTGTGGACTATAGTAGCCACAGGTCTGCCTAAACGTCACACCGCCCGGAAACGGTCGACGGCTAGACCAACTCGCCCTTCACGAACCGAGCTGGCGCTCATGTGTATGATGTCGCTGCAGTCTGAACCAGCTCTACGCGTGACAAGGTGAATGTGGTGACATAGCTACCACATGTCCGGACAAACCTAGATCCGCTGGCCTTTCCACCGAGCCCACCCATAGCTGAAACGTACCTCAAGCTGGTAAGGTGGGGCAAATCATTATGTGAAAGAACCTAGGCCGAAATGTGATTGTGATCGGTGATAAGCAAAAATGGCTGTGGGGCGGATGCGATCCCTTCACTTTACACCTGATGACTGTCCTATATACCACTGCTCCATTAGACCATTGCTGAGCCGCTCTGTGATAGCGCTGCAGTTATAGGTACCACTTGCAAAGACGTTGCAGACCTCAAATCGGAACGCAGGTTTGGGAACACATTCCCATTAGCAGTCCAACAATATTTTGATGCGAGGGTGATACCGAAGAATGGCATCTACACACATTAATGTTGGTTTTATTTTTAGGTCTTTTTCCATTTTTTTTCCCTGACCACATCTGAGTCATTCTAAATGGGTAGCCTCTACCGCTTACTAAGATAGCACTGCAGGTTGATGAAGTTTCGTGCCATACCTTTCAATCGCATCCACAAAGGTGGATCGTACACGATTCCACGGAGAACTCTAAAAAATCTTATCAAGCCGGGCTTTTGAGTATTTTGAACGAATTACATGAGGAAAAAGCATTGCAGCAATTTATTACACGATCATCAAGGCAAGCCAATCGGTGTTTTTTGTAGTCAAAACAGTCAATCAATACATTTGGAGAAATCGAGAGATCTAATCAACGACATGTTAGATAAACATGAAACATTCACTCGTGGTCAGGTAGTACTCTAAGAGTAGTTTGGATGAATGACTATCTTTCAACCAAAATAAAATCTGAGTTGAGCAGTTACATGGCGCATTCTATCAAAGTGAAATGAGCACAGACAGTGACGAGAACCAATCGAGACAAAAATAAACAACAGAAACAAAAAACAAATACAAACAGAACAAATATGAAAATACCACGACTGTAGTCGCTGACTCGAGACTGTAGTCGAGTGAAGCACATAGCACAGGAGCTGTCCGCGAAGCAGGGCTAATTTACAAAAATCGATAGCTTCCGAACTGCTTGGACTCATCCCTGAATAGGCACTAAGGGGTTATGAATTACTTAAAGGCACGCTCCGCGATTAGGCGCGCTTGCCTCTTCCATCCCGGGGGTAGTAGGCAGGCGGACAAGTGTTGTTGTCGCACCCCTTTTGCCGCTTGAAAGTGCGCGACAAAGGCGCAAGCAGCTCGTCCGACCCGCAACTCACACCTTCGTCCGCAAGCCCCACCCTTCGCTGTCGGTTGCCACGTGGCGCTGCTTGAAAAGCGCGGGCGCATTTGAGGCAGTGGTCCCAGCGCGATCCAATGTTATTGACACTGGAGCAAGTAGAGTTAGGTTCGTGAAACTCGTCCAATTCGCCTCTTCTCTATCCCAAGGTGGAATGTGGCTGAAATAGGGGAGGTCTCTGTACGGGGCGTAATCGGTGGTTTCGTTTGCTTTCCTTCTCTTTTACAGACCACCTCCCACCTATAGCTTCATAACTGAACGCTTTTCCACACCTATTTTATCCCGAATCTTGCCTTTAAGAGAACAGCAAAAATCAGTGACAAGGACAGCACTGAGGCCGCCAAATTGCTAGCCATACTAAAAGCATGAGGAGCGGACTTAAGGGCACATTCCGCGGTTGAAAAGGTAGGGTTATGTGCGGATGAGTATGGTAGATAGCGCAATTGAAAGAAAGAAAAGAACCACTACGAGTCCTCAAAATCACATAAACGCTAGTCGCATGGGCGGTGTGTGCGCCCGGCTCGAAGCGAATGCTACTTGGTTAGCCGTTTCTTAGATATGCTAAAATACGGTAAACTACGTTGGATATGCTTGAGCAACCAATGAGATTCTCGTAGGGGAGGGATGGGGGATGAGCGCAAACCCCGCCCATGCAACCAGCGCGCTGTTTTTTTAAAGATTCTTAGCAACTTTTTTTTTTTCTGCCTTCAATGATGGAACAATCAGGACAAATACTTTCATTTTCGGAAGCAGTGACCTACACCTGCTCAGCCCCGCAATGTGCCTTTGAGTGCAGCGGCTCGATTAAAGTAGCGCTATAATTTGAACTTTTGAAAATTTTTTCTGCAACCCATTTAAGAGGGCCACAAGGGAGATTAATTGCTCGCATTGAAAAGCCGATTTTTCAAGCCGCTCGTATACGACAAACATATTTAGAAACCTCAAAACCAATTAGATCACCTTGACCATATCATCAGTCAAAACTGAAGGGATGAAACAAACACATGGCCGAATCCTCAAAACGATTAATTATTCTCGATTTTTTCAACCAAAAATTCAAAGCTTATAATAGAAATGATCAAAGGCGCGTTTTCGTCACGAGTTTTTACGGCTGCTCTCAAACGCATTCGAACTTTATCACCTAGTCGAGAGAGAGCAATTCGACTGTTGGAGTGTCGTCGTCTTATCAACTGATTAGCTGAATTTCTCTTTATGGGAGCTTTCTTCAGCCAATTCCGCTTACGTTTTTTTCCCATTGAATGAAATTTATACATTTTTGATTTTTTCCGTGATTCTCCAAATAACTGATAGAATTTTTTCTCCCAAAGCATCACTTTCAAGCTACACTACTCAGTACTACTACCTTTTCGGTATTTCTTTACCTACTTATGTTGCAGAGGTGATAAAGGACAAAAGCTAAAGCACACAGCAATGCTTAATCTGCATTGGCGTGCGCCATGCATTTCACTTCCATTTGAAATCGTAGGGGCATTTTGAATGCGATGTTGGCCAATGACTTGCGGGGGCCAGCCGATGTACAAGTCAGTGTTTTTATCCTCCCAGACAAGTCTGGTACCAATAAATCACTCCGGAGGAACAGAAGGCCTAGTTTGTCCCGATGACGGTTTCGATCCCTGGACCAAGCGCGTGATAAGCAACGCCACTTGCCCCTTCACCACTTCTGCTCTGTACAGATACACAGAGATGATACATTGATAAGTTGCCGGGAATTGAATTTCACCCATATCAATCACTGTCGTACATTTCTCTGGGAAAATTATTGGGAAACGTTGCTAACCCGCTACCCTAAGGCAACGGGGCTAGCTGTACCCAAGAGTGAGAGTAAAAGTGCAAATCAAACAGCT